AATCATTAAGACCTAAATATTCATGGATACTGGAGAAGTATATAATTATACATTTGCTAATGAAATCCAATCACTGATAATGTTCATCCTAATTAATAAAACCAGTGGAGATGGCAGAATAGTTGTTAGTGCAAAGACTCCATTTCCTAATATAAAGCAATGGTTCTCAACCTGTGGGTCACAACCCCTTTTGGGGGGTCATATATCAGATAAACTGCATATCAAATGTTTATATTATAATTTATAACAATAGCAAATTTACAGCTACTAAGTAGCAATGAAATACTTTTATGGTTGAGGGTCACCACAGCATGAGCAAGTGTAATAAAGGGTCACAGCATTAAGAAAGTGGAGGACACACTAGTCTATATTTTTCTCTTTTTATCCTGCACATTAATGTTACATGTGCTTTGTAGAGCTTTAATATTGTTAAGTCTGTTAGTGCTTGTTTGAAATGAACATAATATCTAATGTAGAATATTATAATAGAACTGCAAATCTGTGTGACAGGCATTTAGGATTCAAAACTTAGTGATTGATAAAATATTCATGATTATCATTTCTAGGTTTACCTATCTTTTTATTGACATAGTAGGAATATAAGATGCCCTCATCAGGATACGCATACACACACACAAACACACTTTTCTTTTTTCTATTTTTGCTTCATTTGGGTTTGCTTTTGGGGAATATCTCATAGAAACAGTGGGCTCTGGGCATTATAACATTTTTCTTTATGATATTATCCATTATAATCACTCACTCCACCTAATTAATGCACTGTCCCGGAGGAGATTTTAAAAAGTTTCATAAGAAAGTTCAGATGAACAATTAACCTCATACAGTGAAATGGCATTTATTCCTTCTATACTCAACCCACTTTTATGTAGCTATTGTTTGCATTGTGATAGTGTCATTCAGAATATTGTCATTCCTGAACGTCTTACAAAAAAATCAAAAAAACAAACCAACAAACAAAAACCCCTTTCCTCTGAAAAGTTTATCTAGTAGGAAATCTGAGAGATCTGCTGAGCCTATGAGAATCACCTGAAAGTCTGCATTTCCATAGGATTGACATTTTGTTTCTTTTTTCTCTTTTTACTAATATCTTTATTTTAATTAAAATCAGTCTTAGTTTGCATATCAATCCCAGTTCCCTCTCATCCACCCACTCTCCCTACCATCTCCCCATCCCATCCCCCCATCCATTCCTCAGACTTCGTGAGATTTTGTTTCTTGATAATGCTATTTGAGTTTCTAGAGAGATCAACAATGTATGTTTATTTCTTTTTCGGCTTTAAGTACTAGATTGTCTTATGAAATGGAGAATCTTCAGCAAATATGAGAAATATGGGTAGTTTCCTTACTTCTGGTGTTACCAGGGTGTTTTGAAGTGTTTATTATTGCAGAAAAGTAGGAGGGTACACATGTTATTATTTTAGCACACCTTGGAGTAAACATAAGCTGGCAATTTAGAACTAGTTTCTGGGTAAAATCTAACTTTGTTCCCTAGGCTAGGATTCAAGGAGCCCATAATACATTAATATGTCATACAAAATGGATGAGAAAAGAACAATGATAGTTCTGGCTTCTCATGACTGTTTATTTAGCAATATAGCTACCAAGATATTCAGGGAGGTCATAGGTTACATCAAACACAGCCTGTCTCAATCATCTTGGGCTTAATAAGATCAGTGAAAGCTGTGAGGATTTCATTAAAAATCCTAAATGACATTTGGTTAAACACAAATGTAGTATTTTTAAACAGTTCTCCCGAATGAAGCATTTTTATACCGAGATTAACTGTTTAGTTATAATGACTTTAATGTTTATGTGGAGATCTGTAGACTTAAAATAACACCCATTCTCTTTTTCACTATCCTCCATGGAAGGCCTTACCCACCCTGGGGGAAATGGGGGGTGGGGGATGGGTTAGGGGGTTGGTGGAGTCCTGGGAGGATGGGAGGAAGAGGGAACTGGGATTGATATGTAAAATAAGAGTGTTTCTAACTTAAATAAAAATTTATATAAAAAATGTTACTGCAAATGCCTATCTGCAAGCCTCTTCCAAATTCAACTGTGTGCTCAGATCCTGCTTCATGACACACAGAGGAATGGTTCTAAGTATGGAGGCATGGTCAGGCACACCTGTAGCCAGCCCCTAAGTAGGCGTGGCTACAGCTTCCCCTACAGTTCTGGGTAATAACACTTACTCTCCAAATCTCTGCTTCTTAAACTTCATTTTTTCCTTGGGTAACATCTTTAGTATCGAAATCTTCCTGTATACTTTAAAAAACAAGAAAAAAAAAAAGACACAAATTTACTGAAAGAAACCCATTCACCCTTGTGCACTAATTCCCCTTAGTATTTCCAGACCGTCCTTTTATTTATGACTAAGGAGAGAAAAAAATTGTCTCTTGTAAAAATAATTCTAAGTTATGTGAGTCATAGGGGAAATTGCTGAAGTGAAAATCATGGTATGACTGAATCTGATATCCAGTAAAGATTTGAGTCTATATAACTATGTGTGTGAAAACTGTGGCACCTAAGTTCCCTGCTATCAGACTGGATCTATGATATGAAATATGTTAATGTAGAATAGAATATAATTGATTATGGGTCATGTGTCTCTTCTATGAAAGATACCCTTTTAAAAAAACATCGTGATGGGGACAATTGTGTTGAGAACTTGTGTTCTGGTTGTCAGTCTTACAACGGAAAACAATGGCCATCCCATTGTATCAAGTAGAAGTCATGTTCCTTGTTTTATAGTGCTTCCTTCTAGTCAAAGTTGACTTAATTTGCATAAGCATTCATGATCAGACCAACAGTTGTGGGTGCCCTTGTAGGGATGCATATATGATTTGTCATAGCGTTCCAACTGTACACACAGAGAACACTTAAAAGCCAACATAGCATTCTTAATAATAATACCACAGTAATAAGGACCATACACTTAATAGTAAATGTCTTTTCTCTGAGCAAGAAGACAAAGATATGTTCAGTCATAGTGTCCCCATCAAAGACAGTATTCTCTTTAAGGCCCTCTTTTATCATGTTTTCATTGGCGCTTACAAGAAATCATTCAGAATATTTCATAAGAAGTTATTAGTAAACTACAGTCTGAGTTTCATGGTAAGAATTGAATCCTTCGAGGAAAATGTTTATATAGATCACAGATTTACTTTATTATATTTTAAGCTTCTAATTTTTATATTCTAAACATATATTTTGCTCTTCATAGTCCCTGTTGAATGTCCATTAACATATTAGTAGCCAAGAATCACCCACTTTGATGTTAGTATCAGTCTAGACTCCTAAGGGATTATTGTCAATAGTTTGACAAGAGTCCCTGTTCTTTAGTCTTTCTCTACCAGTTGTATTGGTATGGATAAGGGTAACCTTGCTAACCTTGCAGCTTCTTCAGGAAACACATGGCATGTTTCCTTCTCCATAAACTTTCTTTTCTTCAGTATACACACCATTAGAGTCCAGCTTTTGGGATATCCTTGTTCCCTATGACCAAGAGGATAGGTAAAATTTACCAGTTTATAGTACCTTTGAAGGTATTCCATTGTCCCACGTGTCTTAACTGGCCCAAAAGACAAGGTTCAAAATACTGACTGTTCTTTTAGACATTCTTACCTCCTCATTGATGTAGGCCTTCAAGCTTTATTAGTTGAACACCAATTTCTAGTCTTCTAGTTTTAAATATCTTGTATAATATTTAAATAGATCTTAAACAAAAATATGTTTTAGGATATTGTTTTCAGACTTGCAATACCAGGCATATGTTCCCTCCTCTGCAGTGTTCCTTAAATCCAATGGGAACACAGCTGGTTTCCCCATAACATTCATTCCACTATGGCACCCATGGCCATATCTTGTCATGCAGGCCATTAATTTAGCTCACTATATTCATAGCTGGATAAGACTGTCAATGACATTTTTCCCCAGTAGCCTGCATAGCACCTTCAGATATAATGAAAGGTAGTCATTAGGGAGGAACTTTTCTGATCAGTTACCAACCTGATTTCCCCATATTGTCGCCTAAAGTTATAGTGTCTGTAAATGTGACCAAGAAACCATAGGCTCCAGCTAGGTTAATCTACTAATATTATTTTGCTTAATGTACATAATGTTAATCTGCTGTATAAATTCCTATCTCTTTACCAATATGCTAATGAAGCTCTCAGATCTCCTCAGAGAACTTCCTTTGTGTACTGGAGTACAGCTAATGTAGAAAATTTCAACTGGTTAAAGTGTGGAGATTAAGTATCAGTAGAGGATTCAGCCACAAATGGCACATTTGTATGACACCTCTCCTACCCCACCCCTGTCTTAAATGCTTAGGAACCAAAGTGATGGTCTTCTCCAAAGTTCCTCTCCCTAAAGGTCTGAGAATTAGACAATACCAAGAATAATTTATGATAACAAACATACTTCCTTAGAATTCATTGTGAACACAAATACTTAGAAGTATCCCCCACCTTGTAAGATTGTGATGCAACAAAAAATAATGTAACAATTCTAATGGGGTGGTAGACCCTAAAGCCAGGCCACTGTTAGAAAACTGGAAGATTTCATACAGCCCTGAGTTCATACTACAAGAACCTCTTCATCAAATAATATCAAAAGACAATCCCCTCAGCCAGCAGAAGGACAGTGATACAACAAATAATCACTACAAGTCATATGGTCATCCCATCTCACATTCAATTTCAGAAGTATTTATTTTTTTTAAGTAGTAAGATTTTCTTTCAGAAATCTACAAAAATCTTTAATCAAAAATGCAAGATAAATTATCTGAAGGGGTGGACAATGACAGCAGTAAACCATTATGTATTGTCAATGGGAACCAGTCACTGATGGTTATAGTGATCAGCCAGCGTTCTCTTCAGTCATTTTCTTCAGGTAACTTCTCTGAAGTTATCACTGAGGAACCTGCCTTGAGCTTCCTGTCACAGATCATTGATAAGCACAAAGCACTATTCTAGGAGTTAGAACATGCCATCTCACATAACCCCAGCTATCCCATACATTGTGCCCATTCCAGGGTCTCTTCTTTAGGAATTTTGGTCACTACAGCTTCTGCTGTAGTTAGCAAGGAGGCCACCCCAACAGCATCCAGGAAAGGAAAGCAGTTCTTACAACCTTTGTTGGATCAATGATTCCCTTTTCCACCATGTTAGCAAAGTCTCCGAGCATAGCATCACAACCAACTTTCGAGGAACTCTGCAGAATTTTCTCAACTATCAAAGATCCTTCAATACCTGCATTCTTAGCGATTGTCATTGCAGGAATTTTGAGTGCTCTTTTAATGATTTCTATACGTATTTTCTGATCTTCATTAGAAGGCTTTCATGAATCCAAGGCTGGGATGCATCAAAGCAGAGAGCAGCCCCCTCCTAGAACAATATATTCCTCAACAGCTGCTCTTGTAGCATTGAGAGCATTGTAACTCTGTATTTCTTCTGATTCATTTCAACATCTCTTGTTCCTCCAACCTTCAACACATCTACTTCATCTGAAAGTTTAGTGAGTCTTTCGTTCAGCTTTTCCTTTTTCATATTCACTAGTTGTGATGTCTAGCTGTTGTTCAGCTTTTCCTTTTTAATATTCACTAGTTGTGATGTCTAGCTGCTCAGTCATTTCTTGAATGTGCTTCTCAATTTGAGCTTTGTCACCCTTTCCTTTCAAAAACATGGTGTCATCTTTGGTGACCATGACCTCTTCAACTTTCATTGTCACCAAAGATGACACCATGCTTTTGAAAGGAAAGTCATGAGCTTGAGCATCTTCAAGATTTAGATTTAGCCCCTCTTCTCCAAATACCCCACCACCAGTAGCACCACCAGTAGTCTTTAAGCTGATTCTTCCTATTTTCCCCAAAACCTGGAGCTTTGACTGCCACAACCTGAAAACCAACTTTTAGCCTGTTCAAAACCAGTGTGTTTAGGCTTCTCCATCAATATCTTCAGAAATTATGACCAAGGGCTTCCCATGAGCATTAGTAATTTCAAGAGCAAGTACAATGGACTGGACACTAGAAATTTTCTTTTCACTCAACAGAACATAGGTATCTTGGAATTCACATTTTTGACCTTTTGATGTGTTAATAAAATATAAGGAAATATATCCTCTGTCAAACTTCATGCCTTCAATAATTTCTAATTCATCATTCAGGCTTTTTCCACCCTTCGCTGTGATGACACCCTTCCTTCCAAACTTTTTATTTCATCAGAAGTGATGTTTCCAATGTCTTTGTCTTTATTTGCAGAAATTGTAGCAACCTGAGCAATTTCTTCAGTTTTCACAGCTTTAGATTGGTTTTTTTATTTCAGCAATTACAGCATCAACAGCCAACATCACACCTCTCCAGGTTTCTACTGGATTAGCCCCTTTGCTGATCTTCTCAATGCCTTCCTTGGCAATAGAACATGCCAGAACAGTAGCAGTGGTAGTGCCATACCCAGGCTCTTCATTTGTGTTATTTGCAACATCTTGAACAAGTTTAGCTCTGATATTTTTGTATTTATCCTTTAAATTAATTGCCTTTGCAACAGTAACCCCATCTTTTGTTACACTGGAACTTCTCCAATTCTGTTTAATAATCACCAATCTTCCCTTTGGTCTCATTATGATAGCTACAGCATCGGCTAAAAGGTCTACAACTTGAAGCATTAAGACTCTGGCATCCGATCCAAATTTTGCATCTTTGACATAGGCCCGAGTGAGATGAGGAGCCAGAACCCTGGACACTGGTCTCATCTGGGGAAGGACTGTGGGTAGTCAAAGAGTTTCTGTGAGTCAGCAGTGAGAGGGCACAAGGTAAAGCAAGCCATCAGTGGCGAGTGAAGGCAAGTTTTTAGTATATATTAGAGAGAAATATTCCACTTTGTGGATAATTTATTATAAAACACTGTACAGAGGGCCTAGTTTGGTCCCATACAGGTTCATCAGCTCCACAACCTCAGGTTATCTGTGGGCTTCCCCAACATGATCTTTTCTTTGCTCTTTTCATTTTTTTCTGCTCAAGTGGACTCTTAGAGCTAATTCTGGTGCTTGGCTGTGATCTCTGCATCTACTTCCATCAGTTTCTGGAAAAAGGTTCTATAGTGATAGAGTACTCACCAATCTGATTAGAGGAGAAGGCCACTTCAGGCACTATCTCTACCATTGCTATGAGTTTTAGCTGAGGTCATCCTTGTGGATTCCTGTGAATTACCCTATCACCAGCTCTCTCCCTAACTCCAAAATGGCTCCCTCTATCCAAATATCTCTTTCATTGCTCTCCCACTCCATCCCTCCCTTAACTCCACCATCTTGTTCCTTAGTGTTCTCATCCCCCATGCCCTCCCCTCTACCTCTTCCATGTTCCCAGATTATCTGGGAGATCTCAGTTATTTCCCCTTGCAAGGGTGACCCTTGTACCCTTCTTAGGGTTCTCCTTGCCACCTAAATTCTCTGGAGCTGTGGAATATAGTCTTATTATCATTTGCTTTGCATCTAGTATACACTTATGGGTGAGTACATACTCGGTCTTTCTGGGTCTGGGTTACCTCACTCAGGATAACATTTTTCCTAGTTGCACCCATTTGCCTGCAAATTTCATGATGTCATTTTTTTTACAGCTGATTAGTGTAAGTGTATAGTGTAAGTGTACCACAATTTCCTTATCCATTCTTTGGTTGAGGGGCATCTAGGTTGTTTCCAGGTTCTAACTATTATGAATAATACTGGGATGAACATAGTTGAGCAAGTGTCCTCATGGCATGATTTTCTGAGAAACTGCCATACTGATTTCCAAATGGCTGTACAAGTTTGCACTCCAACCAGCAATGGAGGAGTGTTCCCCTTACTCCATATCCTCTCCACCATGGGCTGTCGTCATGCTTTTGATCTTAGGCATTCTCTCAAGAGTAAGATGGTATCTCAGAATTATCTTGAGATGCATTTCCCTGATGACTAAGGATATTGAGGAATTCCCAAATGTCTCTAGGCCATTTGAGATTCTTCTGTTGAGAATTCTCTCTTTAGATATGTACCCCATTTATTAATTGGATTATTTTGGTATTTTGATGTCTAGTTTCTTGAGTTTTTTAATACATTTTGGAGTCAGCCCTTTGTCAGAAGGCTGGTGAAGAACTTTTCCCATTATGTAGCCTTCCATTTTGTCTTGTTTACAGTGTTCTTTTCTTTACAGAAGCTTTTCAGTTTCAGGAGGTTCTGTTTATTGATTCTTGCTCTCAGTGTCTGTGTTCTGGTGTTATATTTAGGAAATGGTCTCCTGTGCTAATGTGTTCTAAGCTACTTCCCACTTTCTCTTCAGTTTGATAAAAACAAACCCATGGACCAATGAAATCAAATTGAAGATAGAGAAATTAATCCATACACCTATGAACACCTGATTTTGAGAAAGAAGCCAAAACTGTACAATGGTTCTGGCATAATTGTATGTCAACTTGTAGAAAACTGCAAATAGATTCATATCTATCATCATTCACAAAACTCAAATCCAAGTGTAGCATATATTTCTAAAGAAAACAGAACAGCAAAATATCTTGAGGTCATAACAGGAGCCAATTCAACAAAACAAACACCATGTGTTAACATCAAAACTTAAGTCTTAGAAACATGAAACCTAAGACCACCAATGAAGAATGTTAGGAAACATTTGAAAACAATAAGTATGGCAATTGTTGGGGCCTCAGACAAAACCATCTCCACCATCAAAGGCTGATATACTGGCTACAGCAATTACTTTGATCTCTATTAGAGGCATCCAGGAATATTACTTTGATAGCCTCTAGCTGTGATAAGAGAATAGCCTTATGCATCAAAGCAGAATAACTCTACATTCCCCTTTAGAGAAGAGGACACTCGTATCACCAGCTTGTGCCTCATCACTTCCTGCTGAAAAACTCTGATCCAAGCAGGCCAGAAGTTGCTGCCTTCCTGTAGCATTCCAGATTCCAATGTGAAGCCATCTTGGCTCAGGAAACTGCTCACATTGCATTGTCTTTTATATTGGTTGTCTTTAGCACAGTGGTAAGAGGCTGGCAACAACCTAATGACTCTTAGAATTCTCAGCATGCCCCCACTACTAGTGGTCTAGATCCAGAAGCGTTGAGAGAATCCTAAGAGAGACAACCATAAGACAGTACCTTTAGTCAAGTGCCATTGGAAGAGCAGAAGGCATATTGACAAAGGTTCACAGGACAGATCTCCATCCACTAGTCTAAGTAATGAATCTGGACTAGATTCAAATATTGTTCCTAAAATGCTGGTAGGCACCCTACTTCAAAACCTTCAGCTTCTTTACAATCTTGCCTCAGCCTCCCAAGACTGGCAGAATATATAAAAGAAAACTTCAGTTAAATAAAACTAGCATTTACCTGGGAATTCCTATTCCCCTGGGTGCTGAGAAATGGGTCTACTTCATTTAAGCATCCCTGACCTCTGAGACTTTAGTAGATAACCATACTGGTTATTCTTAACTGGTTGATACAGCTTTGGTGTTAGAAGTAGAGGCAACTGGAAGAATGTTCCTTCTTATTTTCATTTTTTTGGAGGTTTAGTTGAGGCCTGGAAGCTGATGCAAGAATGAGTCCCTTTGTTTATAGCAAGTGATGGAGCCTGGAAATCTGACCTATGTGGGTGGATGAGCATGGCACTGGACAGGAAGATTCACAGAGGATGGAAAATTCTACATGAGGGGGCATTTTTAACCTTATCATTGATAAGTGTTTATGTTGCCCTTTAGCATTGTGGTTGGCACTGATTCTGCATGATCTATGAGTCAATGTATGTAACTACTCAAAAGCCTACAAGAACTCTAGTTTTTATAGTTCCTTTGAATAACTATGAAGTGCCTAAGTTCCACTGATTTCCAACATACCTGTCAGTAGCTAATTTCATTGTTCTGTCTGTTTTCCCTATGAATAATAGCACAGGTCCAGGAAGAATTTTACCACATCCAAGCTTAATCATGACTCTAATGGACCACTGTCCTTTCTGGGGTCAGTCACTTTGTATCTAAAACAAAAGTATGTGGACATTGAGAGCCAAATCCTTTGTTCTTGCTCTACTTCATCAGGAACCACAGAAGTGTGAAATTATACTCTAAACTTGGCAGCACATTAGTGCAATCAACCTTGCTGTCTCTTCAGTTATTGTCTTTCCTCCTAAATTATAATAAAATAGAAAGTAAATTGTAATTTCAACCAATACTTATGTATGCAGAATACAGTAGAACATGTGTCTCCCATCCTCACAATGGAGATGCATTAGCCCATGAATCAGAGGTCTTCTTTATGGGTAAACGTGGATGGACATAAAAAATGTATGTCTCAAAATATTGCTCAAATGACATCTATTAATCGGGCATACTTAACAGTTTCTAGAAAGTTACTTAGTTGACAAAAACTTATCACATACTTAACTCATAAAAGTATGTACATGTTATGGTTGGCTTTCACACAAACACTTCTAGCAGAAATTTTTCAGGCTAGTGGTGGTTAGGTATTAAATATATGCACACATACAGGTTGAAAGAGTTCATCCCTTCCTGCTGTCTTGAGTAATTTATCTACTTTTGTTTATTCATCTAGATCTATATGATCTAAGCTTCTTAATTTTCAAGATTCAAGGATTATCCAGAATTCAGTGAAAATCATCAGGCCTTCCAGTCCATTGAATTTATATTTCATGGAAAAAGACTATAACTTTGTATTTTTTACAACCAAGCAGAAATGCTTACAAATAAGTCAATTTCAGTAACAATATGGCAAATTATTAATATAGCTATTCAAATGTTGATTTTTTGAAATGATTTCAAATGAGTTATTTATTTTGTAGCAAATTTTGTAAAATCTAAATAAGTTTAATTGTATACATACATTTCATACCATGAAAACAGAACTGTACTGAAATAGAATATTAACAAAAATATTTAAATTTAGAAGAAACAGATAAATTCCTAGTCACATATGACCTTTTCAAATTAAACCATTGCAATATAAACAGCTCAAACATATCTGTAACAAGGAAAGAGATTGAAGTAGTAATAAACCTGTCACTCAACTGGCCAATGGGATTGGACCAAAGAATCATCTACCATAAAGTTAGAATGGAGGAGGAACTGAGCACTAGCTGGGAGAATCCTCCTGAACCTCTTTGGGTCTAGATCTGAGTTTCTGTGACTGTTTCCATGACTCTATTATCATTTACAGTGTTGAGCTAAAAATGAAAAAAATCATCCTCTCAACTCTTTGGTACATATGTAACCTTGTGCAACTATTTTCCTGTTTTTCTTAACCTTTTATTCTTACACACTTCAGTGAAGAGATTTGTAGATATATGAATTGTTTGTCAAAATTGAAAAGATGTGCCTTTCCTTTCACTTTATTTTACTCAGCTTTGAATTTGTTTTTGTTTTGATTACCTCCTTCATCTTTAGTTTGTTTGGTTTTCAGTGAGTTTGGAGTTATATATTATCATATATCATATATCATATCATATATATTATCATCTACACATTTCCTTCATTACTTCTTTTTTCTAAATGTTTAAATTATGTTTGCCTGTTTGGGTGAAAGACTGGCAGAGTGCATATGTGGAGGTCAGATGATGTCCAACAGGAGTCCATTCTTTCCTTTCACCTTGTGGCTCTCAGAACTGAACTTAGGTTCTCAGGCATAGAGACAAGGCTGAACCTTTCTGCATTATCTTAGTTATACTTATCAATTAAAAATGTTTCAATAATGGAGACTATCCAAATTCTG